CGAAAAGTCCCAAGAATACTATTTAAAAATCCAGTATACCTAAATCCTGTAACTCACCAATTATGAACATTTCATCACATTTTTGCTTTTGTCTCCAAGACATACGTTATTTTTTCTGAACTGTTTGAGAGTAATTTGCAGACGTCATGTCCCTTTACCCACAAATACTTCAGTGTGTATTTCCTAAAAACATGGATATTGGTTTACATAACCAGAAAATCAGAAACAAGAAAATCATCAAAATTTAACAATGATTCAATACTATGTTTAATATACACATTCTATTCAGATTTCACCAATTGTCCCAATAGTGTCCTTTATTTAATTTGTTTTCTGGTCTAGAATCCAATTCAGGATCATGCAGAGCATTTAATATTTATGTCTCTTTAGTCTCTAATCTGGAGCAGTTTCTCAGACTTTTATTTATTTATTTATTTATTTTTACTTTTTTTTTTGAATTTTATGTATTTATTTTTTATACAGCAGGTTCTTATTAGTTATCTATTTCATACATATTAGTGTATACATGTCAATTCCAATCTCCCAATTCATCCCACCACCCTCCCGCCAGACTTTTAAATCTTTCATAAGATTTACATTTTTGAAGAGTACAGGCCATTTATTTTGTAGAATGTCCCTAATTTCCTCATAATTAGACTTAGATTATGTGTTTTGGCAACAATACCAGAGAAGTGATGTTGTTTCCTTCTTAGTACATCACATCAAGGGGCCCAAGATGTCAGTTTGACTCATTATTTGTGGTATCCATCATGTTTCTCAACTGTGAAGTTACCTTTTTTTTTTTCTTTTGTAATTAGTAAGCAATTTGTGGGGAGATACTTTAAAGTGATCTAAAATCCTGTATCTCATCAAGTTTGGACCCACAGATTCTAGCGTCCATTTATGATTCTTGCCTAAATCAATCATTACTATCATGGGTGTGAAATGATGATTTTTTTTTTTTGACTGTGGGATCTTAGTTCCCCAACCAGGGGTTGAACCCAGGGCCACCATAACGAAAGCACTGAGTCCTAACCACTGGACCGCCTGGGAATTCCCTGATTTTTCTAAATCAATCATTCCATCTCCATTTATTTAGTTGGCATTCTGTTGTAAAGAAGAGCTTTTCCTTATCTCATTTTGTTTATTTGTTATCAGTATGGACTCAAAGGATTGATTCTTCTTTTTTTCTTCAAAGGATTGATTCTTATTTTACAGAGTGGATCGTAATTCAGTACTGTAATTATTTGTTTTAATTCTTAAATTGTTCAGATTTGGCCAGAGGGTGAGGCAGCCCCCTCTGGTTCCTTTGCGCATACTGGGTTTTCCCGTCAGAGCTCATCCACCCTATACTGTGTTGCCTGTTGCTTGTCTACTAGACCAGATTTTTTTTTTTAATAAATAAATTAATTTATTTATCTTTGGCTTCGTTGGGTCTTTGTTTCTGCACGTGGGCTTTCTCTAGTTGTGGCGAGCGGGGGCTACTCTTCATTGTGGTGCACAGGGTTCTCATTGCAGTGGCTTCTCTTGTTGCGGAGCACAGGCTCTAGGCGTGCGGGCTTCAGTAGTTGCAGCACACGGGCTTAGTTCCTCTGTGGCATGTGGGATCTTCCTGGACCAAGGCTCGAACCTGTGTCCCCTGCACTGGCAGGTGGATTCTTACCCACCGAGCCACCAGGAAAGTCCCAACCAGAAATTTTGAGAATAGTACCTGGTGCATAGGAGACCCTCAATAAATATTGTTTTAACTATGGTGAAAACAACAGCTTTCTTTTTAAAAACTTAGTGGGACTCTACCTTTAATATCAATAATAACAATAACTTTTATGACAATTTACCTAATTATAAAAATAATGCATGTTTGATGCATAAAACTTGGAAGTATAGAAAGCACAAAGAAAAAACAATAAAATAAAAATCATTCTTATCAACCAAAGATAATAATTAATTACATTCTGATGTATATTATTCCAGTCTTTTTCCTTATGAGTGTTTCATTTTTGTCATGTAAAAAATGTTATTGTGGGGCTTCCCTGGTGGCGCAGTGGTTGAGAGCACGCCTGCCGATGCAGGGGGCACGGGTTCGTGCTCCGGTCTGGGAAGATCCCACATGCTGCGGAGCGGCTGGGCCCGTGAGCCATGGCCGCTGAGCCTGCGCATCCGGAGTCTGTGCTCCGAAACGGGAGGGGCCCGCGTACCGCAAAAAAAAACAAAACAAAAACAAAAACAAAATGTTATTGTAATGCATCCACCCTTTTGTAGCCCTTTTTATTTTTATTTATTTTTCCTTTTATTTATTTTTTAGGCTATACTGTGTGACATGCGGTATCTTAGTTCCCCAACCAGGGATCGAAACTATGCCGCCTGCGTTGGGAGCACAGTCTTAACCACTGGAAGTAAGTCCCCCCTATAGCCCTTTTTTGGTTGTTGTTGAATTTTATTTTATTTATTTATTTTTTGTACGGCAGGTTCTTATTAGTTATCTATTTTATACATATTAGTGTATATATGTCAATCCCAATCTCCCAGTTCATCACACCCCCACCCCCACCCCCATAGCCCTTTTAAAGTTAGTGTATCGGGCTTCCCTGGTAGCGCAGTGGTTGAGAGTCCACCTGCCGATGCAGGGGATGCAGGTTCGTGCCTCGGTCTGGGAAGATCCCACATGCCGCGGAGCGGCTGGGCCCGTGAGCCATGGCCACTGAGCCTGCGCATCCGGAGCCTGTGCTCCACAACGGGAGAGGCCACAACAGTGAGAGGCCCGCGTACCGCAAAAAAAAAAAAAAAAAGTACTAATGCCTGGATCCCACCCCCAGTCATTCTGATTCTGGTGTGGGGTACGGCCTGAGTGTTGGGATTTTTAAAACCCCCCTGGATGATTCTAATGTGCGGCACAGTTTTGCTCCTTGTCTGATGCTCTTCCCACAATACAAGAGGGATGGGCACCAAACCTCCCTCAGCTGGTGCAGTTAGGGTGGGAAGCAGGGCCTGAACCATTCTCCCTGACCCTCCACTTGACTCCAGGCCTCAGCTCAGTCAGGCCCACTGAAACTAAGGAGGGTCCCAGTGTTCATCTCCTCTCATCTATCATAGCACTTATTACAGTTTTATTTAGTTACTTGTTCGCATTTTGGGGAATCTGTATCTTCCACTAAATTCCATTAAGTTCCACGAGGGAGGAACAGTGTCTTTTCACAGTTTATTCCTAGCACCTCCAGTAGCACCTGGCACATACAAAATGCTAAGTTAGGGGCTTCCCTGGTGGCGCAGTGGTTGAGGGTCCGCCTGCCGATGCAGGGGACATGGGTTCGTGCCCTGGTCTGGGAAGATCCCACATGCCGGGGAGCGGCTGGGCCCATGAGCCATGGCCGTTGAGCCTGCGCGTCCGGAGCCTGTGCTCCGCAACGGGAGAGGCCACAACAGTGAGAGGCCCGCGTACCGCAAAAAAAAAAAAAATGCTAAGTTAGTGTTCGTGGAATTAATAGATATTGTTGTTCTTCTTTTCCATTGCCTCCCTCTCCCGGGCTCCTGGATTACTCTAGAAAGGGATCATTAGACCATTGTTCCAGCATCTTCTAACTCTGTGTCATTTTTTATTGTTTTTGCAGAATTTTTGGCACTTTCCTAGCCCCCACCTTCTCTTCAGGGGCTTGTTAATTTATTCTTTCGTTCACTTATTCAACAATATTTATTGAGTATCCACTGTGTCCCAGGCACCGCAAAGGTACTATAGGCCCTTGGGAGCAAAGGGACAACTCCCAGGGAACATAAAGTCTGGTGGGGAGACAATTGAATAATCACATAAACATAATAATAAACATAGTAATGCTATGAAAGATGGGATAGGAGAACTCAACCTAATGGGGGGTGGAGGTCAGAGAAGGCTTCCCTGGGGAAGCTGGCTTAACTATGCAAATAGAATAGAGTGGGCGTGGGGGCAGTCTTCAGAGCAGCCTGGGCTTAAGGAATAGTCTGTGCAAAGGTGCTGAGGTAAGAGGAAACACAGGACATTAGAAGGCACATGGTGAGAGCCAGAGGGGCAGTTAGGGGAGAGACCCAGGGCTGTCTCTGAAGGTCACTTCAAAGATTTTGGTCTTTACCCTAAGAGCAATGGAAAGATCCTTAGAAGGAATATATATTGGAGAGGACACAAGTGAATGAGGATGAGCCCTCCCGGTCTTTTCCCTTCGTTACCCCGCGGTACCACTCTTGCCCCCTCCAGCAGGGTTCTTCCACCTCTGCTCTCTCCTCCTAGAGACTCTTTCGCCTATTTTCCACTCCCCTTGCCCCCAGCACCCTGTCCTTGGGTCTCACCCTGGTGGCCCTCTGTCTTTTCCTGGTGAGAGCCTCTCTTTCCCCCAGCGCTTCCCCTTGCCCTGCTCGTCCCCACAAAGGCCCTCAGGGCCCCATGTGATGCACCAGCCTCGGCCTCACCCCCACCCCAGGCCCCTGCTTGGGTGGCCTGCTCTGGAAGGTGCAAAACCCACAGCCCAGGTGTGAGTCTGAGAACTCTGACTCTTGGATCCTTTTTTATTTTTAATTAATTAATTTATTTATGGCTGTGTTAGGTCTTCGTTGCCGCTCACAGGCTTTCTCTAGTTGTGTTGAGCAGGGGCTACTCTTCATTGTGGTGCACAGGCTTCTCATTGCGGTGTCTTCTCTCGTTGTGGAGCACGGGCTCTAGGCGCACGGGCATCAGTAGTTGTGGCTCACAGGCTCAGTAGTTGTGGCACACGGGCTTAGTTGCTCTGCGGCATGTGGGATCCTCCCAGACCAGGGCTCAAACCCGTGTCCCCTGCATTGGCAGGAAGATTCTTAACCACTGCGCCACCAGGGAAGTCCCTGACTCTTGGATTCTTATCCCATCCACCCCTTCCTGCCTCCTGGGAGAAGCAACTTTGGGGTTCCAGGGCAGAGAGAGGACTAGGAGCAGCTGCAGCCTGGACACAGATTCTGTAGGTTCACCCCAAAGTGGAGCGCGTTGAAGAGAAACACACACAGCAACATGGCATCAGGTTTTATTGTAGGGACTAAATTCACTGAGGGAAGGAAAAATTCCCGTCTGTCAGGGGTAGGGATTGGTTAAAGAGGTGAAATGGGAGGAAAACAATTCTGACACGAGTGGGATGAGGGGAATAATAGGGAGTGTTGGGCCAAGGTGAGGCCTTAGGGGACAAGGAGGGGGACAGAGGGAGGAAAGGGCTGCAGTGGAGAGGGGGCAGGGAGGGGAGTTGATGGCACCAGAGGAGCCAGAGCCTGGCAACTGTGGCCTGGGAGCAGGCAGTCTTTTCTGCAGAGGAGACAGGAGCAAAAGCAGAGCCCTGAGCTGGGGAAATGGACGGTGCCTTGGACTTCCTGGAGGAGCCTGCTGCCTGGTGCTGTCCTCCTCACTTTTGGGTGCCCAGTGCCAGGACGATGATGAAGCCCAGAACCAGCAGGAACATGGCTACAGAGAGCAGCACCGTGATGACCACCATGCCCCCCGTCCGGGCCATTCCCAGCCCAATAGATTCTGCCTTCCTTCCTGTCAGAAGAGAGGAGGGAGGCCGTTGTGGTCAGGAGCGGCCCCCATCCTTCCCAAGGCTCCCAGCCTAGTCCCTCATCCATTCATCCAGCCAGCCATCCCTTCACCCATTTATTCACCCAACCAACCAACAACTCGTTGGAGGGATCCAGACATCCATCAAAAACACATTTACGAAGCATCTCCTATGTCAGGCACTGAGGATACAGAAATTAATCGGACACAATTGCTACCCACAAAGTTTAGCAGTGCAGGTAGATGAGTCAACAGCCACTTAAAATGCCAAGGGCTCAGTGTGAAGATAGAGGTAAGCAAAGGAGCTAAGGGAGCACAGGGAGGGGCAGCTGCGGGTTGGGGTGGGAGGGGCCTGGAAAGCCTTTGGGGCCCTGAGATGTTACTTACGAGGAAGTGTGGACATTGGGACCTCTCTACTGGACTCAGTGGATGCCCCCTTCGTCACTAGGTAGGAAATGCTTTTGTGGTGATATTTGGGGGAGAGAGGAGAGAATCCTCAGTGAGTATCTGGGACTTAAGGTAAGAGGGAGCCCAGGCCTCCCCCTTCACAGCTATGCCTCCTGTTGTGCCCAGGAGAGGTTCATTCCTGACCCCTTTAGCTGTGCCCTCACTCTCCCCCAGGCTGACCACCTCCCACAACCAACACCAAAGTCAGGACCCAGCTTCTCTTCCTGTAGGCCCTCCCACAGATGCCCCAGGCCAGGGTCCGGTACTTACTAGTATTTGGTTCCTGGTACTAGGTTTGTCATCTGGTATGCACTGAGCCGGGTGACCGTGAAGCCAGACCCACTGTCCACCACGCTCACCAGCTCCCTGCGTCCGCGGCATGGAGGCACCACGAAGCTAGATTTCACCACTGGGCAGGAAATTGGGGGAGTGAGGCAGGGTCAAGTTTCTGGAGACCCCAAGGAGAAGGGCAGTATTTAGAGTATGGATGGCCCAAGAAGGGGGTCAATAGGAAGGGATGAGTGGGACAAGGGATGCCGGGTGTCCTAGGAAGGGATCTCTGGGGACTAGGGTGTGCCTGGGAGGGGGTAGCAGACCTTTGCTGTCATTGGCTCTCCGGGCCATCAGTGTGGCATTGCCCCCTGTGAGGTGACAGGGGGGCAGAGCAACTAGCAGGCTTTCCGTCAGCGCTGGGGACAGCAGACCAGAGAGGCTTGAGATGTTGAAGTCGGCTGGGGGGCCAGGAGGGAATACAGGTGAGGATCAATCCCACTCTCATCAATAGATCTGCCCCCCACCCCTGGGGGTCCTCTCTAAGGATGAAGAGTCCTATTCTGCAGTCCGTTTGCAGGACACGAGTCTTTTGCCTGTGCGACCACCAGGTGGCAGGCTTGAGCTGCAGAAGCTAGGTGCTCCACCAAGCCGCTAGACCCTGGGTGCCAGGAGCGGGCAGAGCCCAACCCCACCCATATCCATAGCCTTGGACTCTTCCCCACACCTCCCTGCCTCCTGGATCTGGGACCAGGAGTGTGCCCTGGGCCCCAGTGACATGCCTGGTCGCTGCCATCACCAGTCCCCCAACCCCAACTGGCCAGACCAGCCCTCTTTGAGAGCCCTGGAAGGCACAGTCCCTCCTCTCCAGACCCCTGAGCCCCTCCCCACCCCGGCCAGAGATGGCAGAAACCTGCAGCCCCGGGGGCCAGGACAGCCAGCAGAATCAGGATCAAGGACAAGGTCAGGACAGGCAGCGGAGATGCCATAGCTGGGAGCTGGGGTGGGTGCTGTCAGGCTGTGGCTTCCTAAGGAAAGTGAGGCCCTCCCCCGGGGGTGTCTGATTTTGTCCTGGGGGTGGGAGGGGCTAGAGGGGAATCCTGTCCAACCTGCCCCTTGGGCCCTACAGCCTCAGGGGAGGCCCCCAGACAGGTTTTTCAGGATGGGGAGCTAACCCTCAGGCCAAGAAGGGGGAGGCCCTGGCTGGATCTTGGTGGTTTAGTCACCTGCAGAGGGGCAGGGTAACTAAGGTGGGGGGAGGAAAAACCCCTCCTTCTGGGGCACCCACGTGTAAGGGCATGAGTGTCCCTGCCTGCACGTGCATCTGGAGCCCAGCCTGTAGGGGACCGTTCCCCTCAGGTGGTGCGGGGCTCTTCCTAGGAGGGCGACAAGTTCTGAGTTTGCCCTGGTGTGCAGGGAGAGGATAATAACCCTGAGGGGCTCCTGAAAGGGCCTTGGTTGGGCAGGAATGGGAGAGAAGCTGAGAGAAACAGGTAGTAGTGGGTGGGGGCAGCAGAGCCAGGGGTTCCAGTTCTTGGCATCCACTGAGGCCCAGGCCCTGAGCTCTGGGAGAGGCAGAGGGGTGTGGGTGCCCGGGAGCGCACAGGGCTTCCCATTCTTCTAGAGAGTGGGACCAAGGATGCCGGGGAGGACTTCCAGTGTTCGGAGAGGTGAGCACTGACCCACCCAGTGGGGGTGGGGGTGGGCACAGTCAGCCCTGGTCAGCAACCTTTGTGAACTGTTTGAGAATAAAGAAGAGAGAGAGGGGCTTCCCTGGTGGCGCAGTGGTTAAGAATCCGCCTGCCAATGCAGGGGACACGGGTTCGAGCCCTGGTCCGGGAAGATCCCACGTGCCGCAGAGCAACTAGGCCCGTGCGCCACAACTACTGAGCCTGCGAGCCACAACTACTGAAGCCCGCATGCCTAGAGCCCATGCTCTGCAACAAGAGAAGCCACCGCACTGAGAAGCCCGCACACCACAACAAAGAGTAGACCCTGCTCACTGCCACTAGAGAAAGCCCCCACACAGCAATGAAGACCCAATGCAGCCAAAAATAAATAAAATAAATAAATTAAAAATAAATAAATAGGGGCTTCCCTGGTGGCGCAGTGGTTGAGAGTCCGCCTGCCAATGCAGGGGACGCGGGTTCTTGCCCCGGTCCGGGAGGATCCCACATGCCGCGGAGCGGCTAGACCCACGAGCCATGGCCGCTGAGCCTGTGTCTGGAGCCTGTGCTCCGCAACGGGAGAGGCCACAACAATGAGAGGCCTGCGTACCGCAAAAATAAATAAATAAATAAATAAAATAAAAAAGAAGAGAGACCTGGTAGGAGAAAATGAAAAAGAGACACAACTTCTCTGATGGCACCATCTGTGTTAGAGACCATCAGTGTTAGAGAGACATGAAGGAGGAATTGTGAGTGGAGAGAAGACAAGAGGAGAAGGCACCTACCCTGAGCCCCAGGCAGGGTCTTTGCTTGCTCCACACTTACCCTCACAGCCATCCTAGGTGGTAGATGTCATTGGCTACCTTTTGTGGATGTGGAAACTGAGACTCAGCAGTAGAACCACTTGTAGAACATGGAATACTTTTTCAGGAGAGGTCGTAGACCTCCTCAGAGAGTTGTTATGTGTGTCTTTCTGCTCCAGGAGCCACTCTAGCTTCCCCAGTCCTGGAAGAGGGCCAGGGTCCTGGTAGGGAAGTAAGGGGCTGGTGGGGTTGTGTCCTTACCCCCACCGTGGGAGGGTAGGCTCAAGGTCTGGGGTGTGAGCAGGCGGTGACAATAAAGATAGGACTCATGGGCCCAAGCAGAGTAGGAAGGCCTCAGACCAGCACTTCTCCAAATTTAATGTGCATATGAATCACCGGGGATGTTGTTAAGATGCAGTTTCTGATTCAGTGGGTCTGAGATGGAGCCTGAAATTCTGCATTTCTAATGAGCTTCCAGGTAACGTTGATTGATGCTAGTCTGGGAGACCCACACTTTGAGTCACCAGATGCTCTGTATTGCCTCCCCCCTCCCACACACATGCTCTGGATCCTGTGATGGAGATCAGGAGCAGGTGTTTTTCCCCAGTCTCCCAGGACAGGCTGCCTTTGGGTGAAGAACTGAATCCTGTTTTTCCTGCACCTTGGCTTTTGTCCCCTTTTAGATCAGATCTTATCGTTCTACAAACTGAAAGAGGATCTTTTGCACATTGAGAACTTTGGAGAGCGGGAACAGACTAAATGGTGGAATTCCAGGGGTGAGGGATCTTCTTAGCACTCTTCAAATCCCATCACCAACTGGGAGGATGTTTACACTTGGGCTTGAGAGATATCCCTTCCCATTTCAGTCACAAACCAGGAGGAGAAAGGAGAAGAGGTTGGGTTTATTGCAGAGTGCGTCGTGTTGGGTCCACTCCTAAGCCCCCATCCCTATCTGAAATTATGAGGGGGATGGAGTTGGGTAGGGGAGGGCAGAGCTCTGACCAGATTTTAAAAGGATAAGAGGGGTCTGTGCCTTTAAACCCTCCTTTCTCCCTCCAATCCCCCACCCCCCCCACCCCCTGGCCCTCCCCAGGTTTCTGGAGGAGCTGAGAGTTGCGTCTTCTCCCTGCCCTGCCGAGCTGCTCACTGGCTGCTCTGGAGGCTGTGCTTTGCGGTCTCCATGGAAACCATTAGTTGCTAAGCAACTGGAGCATCATCTGTGCTGAGCTCTCGCATCTAATTATCCCATCATAGCAGCCGAGAAGGGTTTGGGGAGCTGAGAGAAGGGGGAGCTCAAGCGCAAGAGCAAGAGGATAACTCTTTTAGCAGAGCAGATTCATTGACAACGCTGAAGTCATTTAAAGCTACAGCACTCTCTTCCTCTGGAGGATTTCCTCACGGCTTGGAGAAAGGGAACCAGGGCCACAAATGCCTGGAGTCTCTCTCTTGGACCCACTCTTTCTAGGCTGTCTCCCCCTTGGATTCTTGATTCTCAACTCACTCAAGTTCCCTCCCCTGCCTCCTTCCTTCCAAATCCCCTAGTCAAGACAACAAACATTTATTAAATACCAGTTATGTCCCTGGAACTGTGCTAGGCACCAGGGATATGAAGGTAAGATAAATTTTTGCCCTCAAGGAGCTCCTGATCTCTCTATTCTGCCACAAATATTAGCTCCTAAAACAGAACTACTCTTTCCAAACTGTGGTTCTTCCTTTCTTTCTTCCTTCCTTCCTTCCTTCTTTCTTTTTAAATTGGACTATGGTAGTTTTGCAACCAAAAGAGCTCAGATCAGAACTCAGGTCTGTCTGATATACTTAATGGTTCTCCTTCCCTAATGCCACTCTTCTGTTTCCCAGTCAATTAGAAGAACACGTCCCCTTGGTTCCATGGGCATGTCAACTTCTGATGGGGACTACTGTCCTCCTGTTGAGGAGTGATACCATAGGACTTTAGGTGAGTTACTTTGAACCTCAATTTTCTCACCTGTAAAATGGGAAGACTCATTCTTTCCCATCTATCTAGTAAGATATGACAGGTGTAAATATGCTCTAAAATAAAGGTGCAGAAGGAATGTAGAGATCATTGTCAGAATCTGTAGGAGCAGACTGGGGGAGACCCTGGCGACTTGGACCTGGGGGTAAGATGCAGTGCTCACCAAATGTTGTTCTGGTGGGAAATGTCAGAGCCTCTATCCTTGAGATACTAGGCTGGAAAAAGCTGTGAGAGTAAGAAAATCTCAGTTGTTCAGTGATGGAAGACAACTGGATGCTTCTTTATTTTTTTTCTAATGTTGCCTATGATACAACCACTTGCCTCAAATCTTCCAGTTTTCTGACCTTGGCCAAGTTACCTACCTAACTACTCTGAGCTGCAGTTTCCTCTTCTGTAGAAAGGGTATAAAGTCTGTCTCACCAGGATACTATGACTATCGCTCAAGCTGATTTATTTAAGAGTGCCTAGCACAGTATCTAGTTCAATTAATATTAATTTAAGTAATTTATCTTATCCTCTCCTTTTTATTAACCCTTGGTGCAGATGAAGACTAGAGGCTCAGAAGCAATAAATAATGTTCCCAAGGTCAAAGAGTGAGCAAGAAATGAGGTGGGTTAGAATTCAGAATGTGTTTTCCAACCATGTCATTGAAGCAAAGGGAGATGGTTGGGCAGGAAATGTAGTCTGAGAGGGGAGAGTGACTGAGAGGTGGACAAGCTGTTCCTTGGATACCACAAATGCCACAGGGGTACTAGGCACGCAGGAACTGCCTTCTCACACACTTATTCATTCAGTACACATTTGTTGAACAACTCTTCTATGGTGGGTACTATGCTAGGTGATGAGATACAGAGATGACAAGACACAATTCCTGTTCTCAAGTTGCTGAATTTTGGAGAGTTGCAGAGTTAGCCTTCCTAAGTGTGATATTTCAAATATCCCTAAGTGTGATATTCCAAAAAGAGGGAACAGCGCATGAAAAGGCTCGGAAGTGAATTATCCTGGCACCTGGGAACTGTGAACCATATATCTTGGCTAGAAAGAAGTATTAAAGGATGGACATGGTGAGAGCTCTAGCTACCTGGTTGGGTCACCAATGGCTTTGTATGCTATGCCAAGGAGCTTGGTTTTTATGCTGAAGAAAACAGAAAGCCTTTGAGGTGTTTTACTTGCTTAAAGATCATTCTAGAAACAGTGTGGAGAATGAATTGGCAGTGGGTAAAAGACTGGTACATTGTGTCAGCGTTGGTCTATGTGGCCAATAGAATATGACAGAAGTGATGGTAGGTCACTTCTGAGAGTAGGTCCTAAAAGGCATTGCATCCTCCTCCTTGCTCTCACGGATTGCTCACCCTGGAGGGCATGGGAGCACCTCCATGGGGAGGTCCACGTGGCAAGGGATTGAGGCCTCCTGCCAAGACCCAGAGAGGAACTGAGGCCTCCAACCGACAGCCAGTGAATGAGCGAGCTTGGAGACAGAGCCTGCAGCTCCAGTCAGTCCTTCAGATGACAGTGGCCCAGGCTGGCATCTTCACTGCAACTT